TTTCGCGGCAGTAATTGGTGCGTAATTTAGTTACAGGCTATTTCGACCAACTGTTTAATTACCCCCTGCCTTTACAAATATTAGTGTAATATAGTAGGTGAACCTCTATGATCAGTCAGTGGGACATCATAATACGATAGCTCTTCTAATGTTTTTCGCTGATTCCCTTATACAGTCTTTATATACTATATGACGTTCGTATAGCTTGAACACAACAATGAACGCGCTCGGGTTTCACTCTAAACTCGGCTGTAAGGGGCGGAATGAATCTTTGGACGAGTATTGGAACCGAACGGATCGAGTCAAGTCACGTCTACTCCATGAGAAAGTTTCCAAGTCTTTTCGCCGAGCACGTTCAAGCGCGCGTTGTGCTTCGTCTACGGAAGTCGGAGCACGCTTTCGGCTCTTAGGGAGATTTAGAGGTCCATTTGTACTGTCACGTGACAGCTACCGGTGGCACGCGCCACTAAGTTTGAAGTGCGCTCGTGTGCCTGTCGGAGTTGAACTGCCCCGAATAGGAACGGAGCCAGTAAAATTCTTTATTATTCTAGCGGTCGTGGCTCCGTGCCCGAAGACTGGTTACTTTGTGTGCTCCTTCGGTGAAGTAAAAGTTAAAAAAAAAAAAAAAAGAACTAAGCCGTACCCATCACCCCGGAAGTTTGCCGCGCAAATTTAGGAGAAGTTACGACACCGCTTGAGTCAAATCTGGAATTTCGTTGTTGTTGTTGCGTTTACTTTTTCGGAGGCCAGTAGAACGCGCCCTGGGAGACGGAACTATGTCGTGTTTTGACCGCTTTTGCTTTTGCTGTGGCGTCAGCCGCGCTGGGAATAGTCGTCGGGGTCTGACGGAGGACCCCGTAAAAATATTAGCGCGAAAGTCAAATGACGGGGGAGGACAGGACAAGCGCTACTTTCAACCGACGTTTTAATAAAAAGACGACGAAAAGAAAAAACGAAAACGTGTTTCTGAAAAAAAAAAAAAAAGGATTTAAAAGGGCAATGCACAAAAAATTAAGATAATAATAATAAAAAAGTTAATCGAAAAAAAATACATATGGAAGATTAGTTAAAAACTAAAAATAAAAGGTCCAAAGATTAAAAAAAATAAAATAAAATAAAGAGGTATCGTAGTTTCTTGGGTGACAAGTTCGCTGATGGCGAGCTTACGCAGGATTCGCTTCTTGCTGCGATGGACTCGTAGATTTCTTTTGACCTGTTCTTCCTCGTGCTTTTCCTTTCGCGTTTAAATTTTATTTTTTAATTTTTTTTATGACGTTTGAACAGCTATAGGCCGCCTACTTATGTTGTTATTGTGGTCGAGATATGGGCTTGAGCCAGCGGTTGACAGAGCATTGGTGTGATTACGGCTGCTGACGCTGCTGATCCAAACGGGCGATCATAGGTGTAGCAGCAATGTATACGATGTTTTACCTTATGATATGATGGACGGACGGTACGAGCCACCAGTGTGACCGTATGACGCCCCGATCGTCGCTGCGGCCCTCGCGAAGATCACGGGACACTCACCAGGCATTGGATTGGCCCGGATGACTGGTATAAGGTGAAACGCAGTATAGCGCTATCCTGGTCTCGGTCAAAAGTAGCAGCACTGTCAGCCGATCATCGGTGGTCCTACTTATAGTTCTCACAGTATCGCTTAGGGTTGCAACCTCGCTTATTGTACACCAGAGGCCGAAAAAACGAAGGTGGGTTCAGTGACGTGAGCGTAGCGTAAGGTTAAATGCGTACAACATCGATTTTTTTTTTTTTTGGGGGGGGGGGGGGTTGTTTGTAAATATGACGTACTGCTTTCACCGCTGTAACAATTGGTCATAGTTTTGTTTAGTGGCCTGTTAGTCCTCTTTCAACAACTCTTTTCTGAGACCGGTTGCTAGGTGCACCTGGCGCAAACTGCTGCCTTTAGCTGTCAGCTTGTGCTTGCCGCACGGGATCTGGCGATGAAAAAAAAAAAAAAAACGAAAAAGTAAAATTGGACGTTTAATACGTATTATTGCTGCCGTTTAATATCAAAGTGTCTAAATAGAGTGTTAAAGGGTTTGTTAAAATTCTTCCTTTTTCTTAATATTTTACTGTACATGACCGCAGAGATCTAACTTGTACCGTTTCGGTTGCGAAGTAAAAATAGATGATTGTGTTTTTCTTCTATTCGTTCACATTTGCATCGAAACTGCATTTTGGAAACTGGGTGACCCAGATCCGTCGTACCCGGAAAAAAAGAAAAAAAAAGAAAAGCTCGCTGATTTCGGCCGACAAGCGTATCAAACCGGCGATGAAGCGGGGCCGCCGTAACTCTCTGGCAGCGCCCATTGGCCACGCTGTCCGATGCGCTGCCAGAACCGAGAGGGCTCCGTGGGCGCCTTTCGGTCGTTCGGCTTCGATTTCAGCCCGGCCGGAATATCACATCGCCCGAAAGGGGCCGATGCGCATCCCGGCAGTGTACTATAGTCTCGCGCAATCAGACACAGAGAAGGGAACCGAAATAGAACTAGTTATTCACTCGTAGGATAACTTAAAGTATCGTTCGGTATGTTTCAAAGGCCATTTTGTACGGCATTGGGGAGACATGTTTTATATCGTATGATTCGTATTCCTGGTCGATTCGGCAATAAGAGAGATGTTACTAGAGGTGTAGCGTGCAAACTGCGGAGCATAAATGGTATCCTTTGAAAGGAAACCCCAGTTGTTATTGGCTGAGGTCTGTAACGCCGCTTTGGACTCTCACGAGACGGAGCGGTAATTTGTGGAAAGCTGGAGTCGCGCTGCTCGTACTTCGTCCGAAAGACAAGATGTCAGCTGGGGACGTGACGACAGAAATGTCGGCGGGGAACGTTTCAAACACGTTCAAAGAAAACGGGCTTGCTCCATCATACGTATTCGTCTTTTACACGTTACTCGGAAACAAAGTAATCGGTTACGGTTAAATTACTCTGTTAAATTGTATTCGGTGAAATTACTTCATTACTTGAGGTGCAAAAATAATTGGCCATTATTCGAGAAAGTATCCGTTACCATTCCGCTTACTCGATATCATTTTGAAAATGACAGATATTTTTTTTTCTGTTTGATTAAAACGAGGTGTTTTGTATTGTCCGTCATTGGATTTGAAGCGCGAAATTGTGAACTCTGCTCATCCTCTTAATCCACCAAATTTTCGCTAAACCATCGTCCAGTCGGAGTCTTGGTTCGAGGATTCCTCGAAAGAAACTTGTACAAATGGCGCCGTGAGAACGAGGAGGGGGAACGTTTGCGAGTGATTCGAGTATACTTCCAAGGTACCGTAATATACCGAGCGTCCGCCCATCCTACCATAAGCGCCCGCATCTGTATGTTGTAACATTCGTAAAATACACGAAAGACATATTTTCACATATTGTTGACTTAAGAACTAAGCGCCCATTCCCCAGTTTTACACGATTATCTCAAAATTTTGAGTGTGCGCGTGCTCGCGATTTTACGGTACCTAGATTACTCCCGCGATTCTTTCCTAATAGATGTAATCAAATGATTACAAAATTACTTTAAAAAGTAAGTGAATAGATGTAACTCGATTACCTGTAATCGGTACCGCACAAGCCTGATACAGCGATAATATGTAATCTTCGCACATGCCTGCGGACAGTTTTTGTATGACCAATGTGGCTCTAGTACAAGAAAGAACACTCGTCAGGCAATGTCTGACGACTCTCATTTGTATGATGTATTAGCTTAAAAAGTTTCCGCGCGATCCCACAAAGTTGTCGACCGCCGAAAGCCCGCTTGCGAGATGTTTGAGGCTGCATTCCGTCGTGCGATTCGGTGTCCCTCTCCTTCATGCTCGACATTCGAGGTAGCGCTGCTGCACGGTTAACCGGCAGGAGTTTCACTCACCCCAACTGCCCCACCCTTGCCGCGAATGGACAGACGGGCGGTGATCTCTTCCGGCCTTTTGAAGAACAGGCTCGGCGTGAGACCTTCAAATCGTAACGAACAAACGAGGCTGGGGAGCGTGCCGCTCTGAAGCGGTTGTCGCTCGATGAGAGCGATTGATGTATGCGGGAGGTGGAACATATATAATAAGAGGCGAGTGTGGCGGGTGCAACCGACCGGCGGTCGTGTGCCACGCTTTGCAGAAGCGGGACAAACGAACTCTTTCGGAAGACTCCTGTCCTTGCTGTCGGGGAGGGCGGGGCGCTCGTTGCGAGAGCACGCGCCGGTACGGGTCGGTCGTCGTCGGTCAGACACGGACGGCGGGACTGCCGAACCAGAAAACCAGTCCCCTTGTTTCGCATTTCTACGGGTCTCGGTTTTGCTCTTTGTTTTCTTTAAAAAAAGGAAAAAAAACATGTTTTAAAGCGCTTGACGGGTTTTGTCCGCGCGACTTTTTGTACCGCGGATTGAGTGGATTGAGCGCGTGCATATAAAAGGCCGTCCCTCAAGGGTGTGTCCCCTCTCTCCTTCCCTGGGAAGGACCTGAATGCAGTGATGGTTTTTGGAACGGGTGAAGGGAAAAAGAGGGACAAATTTTGTGTAACATTAAAAGCTTGGCAGACTCTTTTTCTCTCTCTCTCTCTCTTTTGTTGCGCGGCTACAAAGGATTGACGCGCGCGACAAACGCGAAGAGAAGGCTCGTTCCCGTCCCTCTCGGATGTTGGCGGTTACTGGCCTCGGGCGGCTCTGCTGGCGAAGTTGCCCCTCCGCGAATGTTGGTGCGAGTTGGCTACTTACCGCTACTGGAGAAGGCTGCTGCCCACACTCTTATAACTCTTTTTCTTTGTCGCTATTGATAGCGTTTTCCTTTCGTGTGTTCTGATCTCATATCAAGCTCGCTAGTTGTGATAGTGCATCGACTGCATGGGAGCGTCGATCGTGCACGCGACCTGAAGCTGGCGCATCCCGGCACTGTGTTGTCAGAGGCAGCAGCCACCTACTTAGAATCAACTTTCAATTGAAGTGTAAGCGGTGGATGCGATTGAGCGATGCGAAGGTTTATCGCGGATGGCTTACATTGCTTCGTTTTTACTCGAAATTACAACGTACCAGATGGCACGTCCGGAACAGCCATTCGGGTTGTCTTTATAAAATATGTGGCTCCTCTCAAAGTTGGCGCGCTGACTAGCAAAGTAATTTTCACTGCTTGCTTCGAAACAGAGGAACTAGGTTTGAATTACTCTTCCTTTCAAAGTCTAATCCCGCCATCTGTATATCAAGCTATTTCTGTCGTACGCCATCCCACCTACAGAATAAAAGAACAAAACTGCGCAGGATATTAGGAGAAAATGTTGCCGCTTGACGCATTGTTGGACGCGCGCTATTGTTCGACAATGTTTGTGACACAGAGTTGTTGCGCATGCATGCTTCCAACTTTCTAAAGAAACTTTTTTTCTTCTTTTTGTTTGCTTGGCTTTGTGCTTCCATTTTTCAGACTGGCATTGTCGTCGAGTTTGCAAATGCGTGTGGTCGAGGCTCTTTGTTTCTCCTCTGCATTGTTTCTTCCTTTTTGTGTTTTTGTTTTGTTTAGGCGCAATTGAGACAATTGCAGCCACGTGCGTACTACTACTACCTTTACGTCGCCTCACGTAACGTTAATTTTGCCAAGGTGTACCGAGCGTCCTTTGAAGGCCGAGCGTTCCGAAGAAATGTGCCATCGAAGGCATTTAGAAGTTACTACGCGAGGAGCGGACGTTAATAGGAGACGTCTGCCGCTTGGCCCTTTTCATGAGTCACGCGAAGTTTAATCTTTGTCTCGGGAAAATAACAGGAAGCACGCTCTTGCTCTCTCTTCTTCTTTTTTTCCGTTGCTCTTTTGTTTGAGAGAGGCTCATTACCGTGCCCCGTGAGGTCGGGGTGAAGTGGACTACGCGGTTTGTTTGTGCATGTACAGAGTGCGACACCGTTAGCACGAACGAAAGTCCCGCTTTCCTGTTTTTGTTTTTGTTTTTCTAAAATTCTAAGGCCCGCGTCCAAATGATTGGTGTAGTGCGATACGCTGCTGCGGCCTATTGGGGAGGAGGACAGACCGTGACGCCCCAAGCGGTTAACTTTAGAACTACACGGGTGAGGACAACAAATACAATGACTCAGCGCTCGGCCGACATAACCGAACGCGGCGTCAGCGTTCGGCTGGAGTTCGTGTTCTCCGGTGAGAGGGAGGAGGGGCCCTTTTGTTTCCACTGCGGCCTGCATGAGCAATGCAGCATGCACTGTCCCTGTGACAGAAGCTGTGCGCGGTTAAAAGAATTCACAAATAAACAAAAAACAACTATATTACATTAACTCGATTACAAAAATACACGTATATACAGTCATTGTTCCGGTTAGCGTCGCCGCGATCTTGTCCCTTCGAGTTCCTTCGTTCCACTGACGCACGCATCCATATCCCCCCCCACACACACACACTCGCCTAAGCCGTCCCGTCCCGAAACCTGTCTCCCCACTTCCCCCCGGCTCCTCTTCAGCGGGCCCCCTCCGCCGCCAGAGCGTCTGGCTCGCAGCTGCAAGTCATCAAAGGGGGTGCCCGCCGACCGGGGAGAAACAGGGCTCACCCGCGGGCCGTCGAAGCCTAAGTCGCTGCGAAGGTCCCGCTGGCTGCGTATAAGCGGGGTCTCCGCCTAATGTAAGTTGTTCGCGTATTGTGGAACACACTCCCGCCCCGCGGAACGAGGAGGGCCTGTCACTTTTCACGTGGCGAGTTCCAGCGGGTACAGCAGTTGCACTGGACGTCTAAGGATCGTTCCGTTGGGAAGGCGCACCAAACACGAGCGCACATGACCGTCCCGTCCCCTTTGCACCCCCTCAATTCGCCCCACTTTCCACTGTATTCGCGGTGCTTTTTCCTCATGCACCAAGACCACATCTCCGTCTTTCAGGCTGTTGATCTGCGTCTCTGTCGATTGGTGCGCTGAGCGTAATTGCAGCAGATACTCTTTTTTCCACCTTCTCCAAAAACTGTCCATTACTTTTTGACGATGCCGCCAACGTCTGGAGAGTTCACCCTTTGTTGACTCTCCTATTCGGTCCAGGCTTTTTGACGGCAAGGTAGTCGGTCGCCTGCCCGACAGGAAGTGCGCCGGAGTCAAGATAGGTTGGTCTGGCAGGTCGTCGTGGATTGTTGCCAGTGGTCGGGAGTTCACGACGGCCTCCACCTCGTGCAAAATAGTGGTCAATTCTTCAAAGCCGAACCGATTTTTTCCGAGAATGATGCGCAGGCTTCGCTTGACGGTTTGAACCATTCGTTCCCAGAAGCCGCCCCACCACGCTGCTCTTTCGGCAATGAATTTCCATTTGATTCGGTTTTGTGAACAATGATCTTGAAATCGATCACTCCTCAAGATCGGCCAAATACCGGACAGGTCCTTCGAGACTCTTTTAAACGTAAGAGCATTGTCCGAATAGATGACACCGGGCAGTCCTCTTCGGGCAGTGAAGCGCTGGAAAGCCATGATGAAGGCCTCTGTCGAGAGGCTAGAGACTAGCTCCAGATGCACGGCTCGAGTTACCGCACAGGTGAAAAGAGCGATGTACGACTTCTCGTCCGAATTAGCAGTCTTCACCATTAGCGGACCAGCGAAGTCGATGCCGACCACCTCAAAAGGGTCCGCTTGATTCACGCGATCCTGCGGCAACGGCGCAGTCGGAGCAGTAGCCGGTTTCAGTCGACCGAGTCGACAAGCGTTGCACCGATTTATGATCTTTTTGGTCAGCTGTCGCACCCGCGGTACCCAGTAGCGCTCACGGAGTTGGTTTAAAGTATCTTGAAGCCCGCCGTGCAGTGTTCGCTGATGACAGTCTCGCACCAGCAGCTCTGTGAAATGGTGTTCGGGTGAGAGCAGGAGCGGGTGCCTGACTTCGACGGTCTCGTTCAGCTGCTGAAGTCGTCCCCCGACGCGCAAAAGCCGATCGGGGTCGATGAACGGGGTGAGGGAGACGAGACTGGATCGGCTTTCCAGTTTCTTATCCTTGATTAGCGCTGTCAGTTCTTGTGGATAAGCCTCTTGTTGCGTTCTTGCGATCCACCAAGTCTCTGCTCGTCCCAGTTCTTCAGCCGTCAGTGGTCCTTTCCGCTGATCGCGTTGCTCTCTGCAGTTCTTGACGAACCGCATGATCCATGCCGTAATCCTGAGGACTCGTTCCAGTGTGCCGTAACGCTCCAGTTCCAACAGCGGTGCAGTTGTCTCGGTCGTAGTCTGCAACGCATGATATTCCCGCTTCCCTTCCTCTTCAATTAGGGAACCCGGAACGTCCTCGGAGATGGTGAAGGTTGGCCACGCCTCTGGAGCCCTGACAAGCCACGTTGGACCCCTCCACCATAGTTCACTTGTTTGAAGGTCTTCCGCGCTGATTCCCCGCGTCATCAAATCGGCGGGATTTTCCAGCCCTGGGCAGTGTTTCCACGTGGAAGGCCCCTCTCCAGCCTGTATCTCGATCACTCGGTTTGCCACGAATGGTTTCCATTTTGCCGCCGACCCTCGGATCCAATGAAGCGTGATCATGCTGTCTGTCCAGTAGAACACCTCTTGAATATTCATGACCTCCCCGAGGTACTGGCCTATTCGTCTTCCGATCACCGCCGCCATCAGCTCGAGTCGAGGGAGTGTCAGTCGCTTTATAGGCGCCACACGGGATTTTGAGAACACCAAGTTTACCTCGACTTTCCCTTCTTTTCCTTCCACTCTCAGATAGGCACAGGTGCCGTACGCCACCGGGCTCGCGTCACAGAAGATGTGTAGTTGTAGAGAACTCACAACCTCTCTTGGCTCCTTCATGACGCAGCGACGAATCAGCACCGTCTGAATCTGCGGGAGTTCGGCACTCCATCGTCGCCATTCCACTAGCAGCTCGTCGGTCAAATCGTCGTCCCAGCCGAGCCCGCATTCCCAGATTCGCTGGAACAAAACCTTCACTCGTATCACGAAAGGTGCCAGGAGTCCCAACGGGTCGAAAACTCTAGCAGCCGCACGGAGCACATAGCGCTTCGTCCTTCCGCTGCACGTAACGAAGTTGAGCACCCTCTCCACTGGAACAGCCAGCGTGTCCGTGTCCCGTCGCCATAACAGCCCAAGCACTCCCTTCGGCTCCGAAAAGGCGGATGTCGTCGAACCCCCGTCAAACGAATATTGCAGCTCTGTAGCGTTGGTTGACCATTTTCGTAGTTTCATCCCTGCATCTGCTAATATCCGACTGGCTTGGTCCTGTAGTAGCGCTGCTTCTTCGATCGTTGAGGCCCCAACCAGCAAGTCGTCGACGTAAAACGACCTTCGAAGCAGCTCTGCAGTTGATTTGAGGTCTCCATTTACGCCGTTCAGGTGATGCACAAGCGTGGCGGTCAACAGAAAAGGGCTGGCGGAAGTCCCAAACGGCACTCTAGTCATTCTCCATTCCTCGACGCGTGATTCTGAACTCTCTGTCATCGGATCTCTCTGAGCCCATAGGAAGCGGAGTGCGTCTCTATCTTGTGGTCGGACACCGATCTGTAAAAATGCCTTTTCTATGTCTGCCGTCACAGCGATCGGGTGCATACGAAAGCGCACCAAGATCCCGACGAGGTCGGCGTTCAGGTTCGGTCCCTTGTCCAGGTGTTCGTTAAGTGACGCAGCTCCAGGTAGATGTGAAGAAGCATCGAAGACGACCCGTAGTTTCGTTGTCTCCGATTCGTTCCGAATGACTGGTTGGTGCGGCATATAGTAGGTCCGGGAGCGTGACGACTCGGCGTCTGGAGTGTTCGCTGGAACCCTCTCAGCGTGTCCTGCTGTTATGTAGCTGCCGATGGCGTTGTCATACTCAATCGAGAGGGACTCATTCCGTGAAAGTCTTTTCGTCAAACCTCCGAGACGTTTCAACGCCAGCGTGCGGTTGTCTTTCAGGTTTCCGGTGCTGGCTTTCCATGGCAAGCCTACCTCGTACCGTCCATCAACTTTCTTGATTGTCTCGTTGAACTCGGTCAGTACCTCGTTGTGCTCCTCTGTCTTGCTGCATGGCCGATCAGCGATGCCGATGCTCTCCAGCTCCCAAAAACCCCGCAGCACGTCTCCGACGTCCTCCTTCTCCGCGGGTCCGACCCTCAAAACGCATACCATGCTGTTGGCGTTGCCGCTGAGAGAGCTGTGGTGAGACACGGGGCCCTGAAAGGTCCACCCAAAAATGGTGCTGATGGCGACCAGTTTTTGATTTTCTTCGCACCGCAGCACTTGGTCTCCGGTGACCCTCCACAGCTGATCGGATCCGACTAGCAGAGATATGCCTTCCTCCGCCGGAACCCCAGGAAACAGGAGCGCATCCGCAATGCGGCGTCCGTCTTCCTCCACTCGGCGAACAAACACGTGGTCGGCGGGTACCCGAACGACATCCTTGCAAATGAAGGGTACCTCGACAGCCTCGACAACGCATTCTTCTTGGCCGTACTGACTGCGCAGTCGTACCTCGACCAGTTGTCGCCGTTGTGGTCGTGTCGAGCAGTGGCCGAACGTATTCAGTCGGAGGCTGGTTTCTCCAAGAACCTTGAGGCCGAGCTTGCGCGAAACATCTTCTCGGATAAAAGTGCGTTGGCTGCCTCCGTCGACGATGGCCCGCACGTAGCCGCGTCGTTCCCCCTCTACAGCCCAGGCCCGGAACGTCTGGAGCAGGACCTCGGAATCCAATAGATCGGCGGCAGCACTTTGGACGCTAGTCAGCGGGGCATCTCGATCCGGTTTTCTCAGCGCGGGATTCCAGTCGGGGTCACACATTGACGTAGCATGCCGACCTGAACATCCCGCGCATGACACTTTCCGCCGACACTCTCTTGCTCGGTGCCCCCCCAGTGTGCATCGGAAGCACCGGGAGCCCTCTGTCAGCTTTCTTTTCTTTTGATCGAGTTTGAGATCGCAAGTGCATAATTCCGCCGAATGCTTGGATGAGCCGCAAAAGAAGCACTGGCCAGTGATGCCTGTGTGTAACAGTGCCGCAGCTGGCATTCCTGATCCATCGATCCCAGTCTTCCGCGGTGGGTCATACCGCTCGGCCACGACACCGGCTCTCTCTCTGCTCTCGACCTCGACACGAAGAAACCCAAGAATCTCGGCGAGCTCACCTTCGGCATCGGCGGATTGCAACGGCGAGGGACAGATCCGTGCAGAGGACAGCGAGTCGATCGAGCGGCCGGCGTCTTGTCCTGTTGCATTCGGCGACGTTGGATCTCTCTCCGACGTCCCGGACGCCCTGTAGGCGGTGTTGCCCGACTGCCACCTGTGGTAGTCCAGCACAATCTCTTTCGGCAGGGCCCTGAGAAGAATGTCCGACATCATTGTGCAGTACGTCGACGATCCCACGCCGAGACCTCTTAGCCCTCGGATGTTGGTCTGCACATGGTCGTAGATCCTCCTAAGTCCCCTTGTGTCCTTCGCGGACGCCACCGGCGGCAGAGATCGGAGCTTCGCCAAGTGGTCTTGCTCAATTCTTCGTCTGTCGCCGAACCGCTGCGTCAGGATGTGGATGGCATCGTCGTAGCAGGCCTCCGTGGCCTGAAGTCCTGCGATTGCGGCAGCAGCTGGTCCGGTGACGAGTGTGCGAAGGTAGTGGAACTTTTCCGATCGTGTGATGCTGTCGTTGCTGTGAACAGCACCACTGAACTGTTCCCAAAAGCTCTGCCAACCGCTGATATCCCCGTCAAAGGTCAGGAGTCGCAACTTCGGGAGCTTCACTCCGCTTGTCCTGTTGGAAGGAGGTACTGAAGCTGTCGCCGATGTGGTCTCGTTCAAGGGCGTCGGCGTTGGCAGTTCCCTTTGTCGTAGCGATGCGATCTTGCAGCCTAGCACCGCTAGAACTCGGGTGGCCTCGTCGTCGTATTCGGATACAGTCGTGTATTCCGCGACGAGATCCTCTAGTGGCACTTGGTCCTCGATCTCTGCATTTAGAGACCGAAGCGTCTGGTTGCATGCGTTGATTCGTTCTCGCCAGGCAGTCACCGTGGCCAGATCCGCTGTCTCCAGTCCCGCCGACGCCTCGCTGATGAGCCTTGTGGTTTGCTCCCGTTTGACTCCACGTTTTCCTTTAAGCCGCTCCATCGTTTGCCGTTCACGAACACGCACCCAGCTCTTTCACAGCGTTCCAGTGAGGCGGTCACAAAGATCAAAGCCGCTCACCTCGTTCGATGTTCTTTCCCGGGTTTCGGCACCATAGTTTTTGTGACAGAAGCTGTGCGCGGTTAAAAGAATTCACAAATAAACAAAAAACAACTATATTACATTAACTCGATTACAAAAATACACGTATATACAGTCATTGTTCCGGTTAGCGTCGCCGCGATCTTGTCCCTTCGAGTTCCTTCGTTCCACTGACGCACGCATCCATATCCCCCCCCACACACACACACTCGCCTAAGCCGTCCCGTCCCGAAACCTGTCTCCCCACTTCCCCCCGGCTCCTCTTCAGCGGGCCCCCTCCGCCGCCAGAGCGTCTGGCTCGCAGCTGCAAGTCATCAAAGGGGGTGCCCGCCGACCGGGGAGAAACAGGGCTCACCCGCGGGCCGTCGAAGCCTAAGTCGCTGCGAAGGTCCCGCTGGCTGCGTATAAGCGGGGTCTCCGCCTAATGTAAGTTGTTCGCGTATTGTGGAACAGTCCCAGCTCAGCACAAAAGCCGAAGTGGGTCAAGCTCGCATTCTCTGGGGTTAGATCCGGCACTTAACGTCGCTTCGTCGATTGTTAGTATTTTTTACATTAAACTGTGCCCCGCGCTGTATTGTAGAAGATGACATGGACATGCTCATTAGACCTGTCGGCATGTGCACAGGCCTTGTGTTGAGTAAACACCAAGCGTGGGGAAAACAAACGGGTCAGAGCGCCCCCTATTGTTCGATCTCCTGCCCAATACCACTACCAGCTAGAATAACCGAAGCAATGAGGAGCGCAAGTTTGTCTGCTCCTTTTACGCGGGTTCTGGTGATGTTAGAACGCGGAGCTCTGATTGGCTGTGATTGAAGGATAGTGGGTAGACCTCGAGGCAGCTCGCTTTGAGGTCTACCCACTATCCTTCAATCACAGCCAATCAGAGCCCTGCGTCTTTCTGACGTCACCGCTACTCCTGCGCCCACAGCAGACGACTTGCTCTCCGTATAGCATTTCGACGTCATCAGGGGGAAAGCGAGCGCAGACACAGATTGGGCACGAGTTCAGTCTTGTACTGTATTCATTACGAGTAATCAAATTACTCGTAACCAATTACTTTTTTAGATTAATTTTTGAATACGTTGATTACGAAGTAATCGCAACAACAGTCTGATTAATTTTGGGAAGTAGACTACAATTACTCGTAACCGGTAGGATTTTCCCCTCCCCATTGTAACGGCGCCCTTAGCTTCTACAAGTTTTCTACCGAGTAACCATCGAACTAAGTGTCCGACAGCAGAAAGGTTTATCAGAATTGTTGGATTGAGTATATGAGTAGTTTGTAATTCGCTTATTATAATCCAATAATGAACGGTGCAAAATATCAGTTTTTAAACCGGCAGAAAAATCGGTTGTTTCGGAAATCTGAAGTAATCGGAAAAGTAAGGGTTACTTTTTCAAGTAACGGCTTTTTACTTTTCTTCTCGAGTAATCGAGTAATATCCCGGAATACGTAATCGATCGCTTTCTCTCTTTTTTTTTTATTTTTTCGAGTTACGCGTACGAGACTGCACGAGCGCTGTGTCAGCGTTGGGCTGGATCTCGCTTCCACTCAATGCGTTAAAGAACACTCGACGTCGGGCCCTACCGCTGAGTTGGCGTCACCCCAGTGTGATGACGTGCCAGGGGGGCAGAGGAGGTCTAAGGCTTTGCGTATTCTAGTGTTGCCTATATATATAGTTCGTTTCATCATAAGTCGGAGCTCCACACTACGAGTTGGTTGGACTAATCAAGCAGTGCTCGGTGTCACGAGCGGCGTTCTTTGCACGTGCCATTCACTTGTAATTCAATCGTGTTTCGAGAGTACGCCCCTAACCTCGAGCTTTTAGTGTGCGTGTTTGTGTATGCGGGATGTTTCACGGAACGTCGGCTCTATCGTTCCTGAGAAAACTACGAATTGCACTGAAAAAGAACGATTGACGTCATATTCATCCCTGCTATTGACTATTAAGAGTCCATTCAGGAGATAATAACAACGTTCGCAATAATTACCTTATGAATTATTTCTGAATAGTTACCTTTTTACTTATTAAATTTAAAGGAGTGGTTTCAATCAGAAGATTGCTGGGTGTCGTCTCAAATCCTTTAATTTTCCACAGGTCAAAATCATATTTTATTTTATTATCTGAAACGATGGAAAACGATGCCTAGACATTACTCTCATAATCCGAAACTTAGAAACACATTCATTTTCAAGTAAAAGAAAAGAAAAAAAAAGTTCGAATTTGAAGTTCCGGCGCGATCCGCGACAGTGCAGTGACGTCAAAGATTGAGTCGTCCTGCAGCTCGCGTTTTTCTCACGCCTCCGAACCGTCGCCCGCTTCTCGCGGTCAACCGCTCTTCTCCGTGCCTGTCGGCTATCGCTGTGAGCAGGTGACGCTTCAGTTTCGGTTGGAAGTTCTAGGGCCCTTTCAGCGATCTCAAATTCTTTGAAACGAGGTGGAAGAGAACGCGCAGTGGGCTTTTGTGAGCAACGTGAGCGGCCACGACGCGCCGATTCTGCTTGAAAGGCTGCCTCGCGGAGTCATAACCGAAACTAAAGTACACAGACACCGAACCCAGTTGTTTCGACCGTTTGACGATTTCCTTTTCGAAGTCCGAGAGGTCGTCGGGCAGCTAAAAAAGAGAACTTTGTCCGATTCCCCGACTTACCCATCATCCTCAGTGCTACATGTGCCGAGCGCCGCCATGTTTTCCGAGGGAGGATGAAAAGCCAGTGGGCGACGTCACTCCGAACTCCGATTTTCGGTTTTTCAAAAAAAAAAAAAAAAAAAAAAGGGCCCTCAGCCATCCTCCCGCTCATCTCGGATATTTACTGAATGATGTGACATTGATCACGTTTAAGCGCTGTGACTATATACTCGTCAGGTTCGCCCACAACCAGGAAGCTAACAAGCTCCTTCCGGGCGAAACACCGACGAAACTAGCCGATAAAATTCGCAAAGATTACTCCAGTGTTCACCTGGCGAATGTCTCGTTTTCGGGAGAATGGCCACGAGCCGGAAACAACTCTTTTTTGCCCCATCGTCGCTCGTGATCTTTGACTCCTTGCGCGTTTGCGTGTCAGGGCGCATTATTCCGAGTCCCACGGCGGGGGGGGAGCACGCACGGCGTCCCGCGCCCGCGTGTTAGCCAAAAAAGAAAAAAGGAACCCGTCGTGCGTGTACACGCGCGAGGAAAAGTACGCCTCAATCGATCGGAATATGTAATCCAACTCCGCTAAGAAAGAAAAAAAAAAAAAAAGAGGGGGGGGGGGGGTTGAGTTGCTCCGACAGCCGCGCCAACGCCCATGGCGCGTTCATGAAACAGGCAGCAGGTTGCCCTGTCTCGCTGCTGTATCCCGTTCGCCGCTAAGCTGACAGTGCGGTGGAAGCTACATGCTCGTTGGACCAGTCTTGCCTTCCGCCACGGGATCACCCTCCCGCCCATCTTCACGCACAAAGAGCGGGGTCAGCTGATGCGAGAAAGGTGGTTGATTGGTCCTGCGAGCCTCTAGCTCCCGTCACGCTGTCAGCTTAGGGGACGACTGAGTGCAGCCAGGGTCTCATGAGCCTTCGCTTAGACGCTCCAATTACGCCGATGATAAAACACTTCCCCCGCCTTCCGACGCGAGCTGCTCGAGTTGTACTTGCGAAAGTTCGCGTCGGCTGCCGCACGGGCATTATGGGCGCTGGGCCGAGCGGCGACGTTGCCCCGCTTGGCTTTGCTGGGTCTCGCGAAATCGGGGGCTCCGCCCGCTGGCTGTGCAATTTTTGCCACTTACCGTCACGCCTGCTGTTTGTCCGGTGACGGGGTCAGTGATGGAATCTTTTGTGTGTTTAGCCGACTTTCTCACTTCGGATATAATCACGACGCTTATAGTCTACCCGCCAAAGCCCGGCAAGGTTTTTGGACGAAATCCTTTCCGGTGGCATTTCCTTCCCGAAGAAACCTAAGAATACAAATATGACATTCGATGGATGCGATATTTGTGTCATGAGCTTCACTGCTCGACTTTTATTTTTTATTTTTTTTTAGGGTGTGTTTGGGGGGGGGGGGGGGGGGGTGATGTTAGCTTTTCAGTGATGAGAAACGGATGGTGTGGCGGTCTTTGAGTCACAACTCGCGACCGGCACGACGCGTGTATAACTGTGAGCCTGTCACGGGCTAGGTGTTCCAACTCGTAACTGCAGTGATCGCTTCCTCGTGTAATGTGCGTCAACTGCTATCGTGCTGCCAGTTCGAAGTGACTATAGTATACATAGTTTTCGCGCGTCGTATCGCAATCCTGGTTGTGATAATAAGCGGAATGCAATAATCTCGCGAACGCCGCTTACACTATCCTACCCGGCTTGCGTTGCCGCGCATTGCCGCGCGGTGGACTTGTTTTTCCAGCCGTACATCTGAAACTCGTGCACGGATGAATAATTCGACGCATGCACGTGTCGCAAGACGCGTTTTCCTCTCATATTTTGGCTTCCTTTTAAATGCGGCGAGCGAGACGTGGCTGCTGGTATTTCCCGCCTTTAATTGCGTTCGGGCTCGCGGCCTCGTACACGCGTGTCGGTCGCCCTGGCTGCTTGGCGTCAAAGCCTCAGGGACTTTTGGTATCTTTTTCCTTCCGTCGTGTGTTTCGATGCGGAGACACTCTACGTTGCAGAGGGTGCCGACGGGGCATCGGCAAGCGGGCGCCTGTAAAAAGGTAAACCGACGACGAGAAATTGCACCGAAACACAGTGTTACGAGCAGTCACCGAGAGACGCCGGTGCCCGTGCCCGTTGTTGAGGAGAAAAAACAATTAATAATAGACATCGAACAGGCCCTACGGGGCGATTTCGGGTACAGCTAGGCCGATTCTCTGTTTGCCCTTCTATGTTCGGTCTGGTTCGATGTCGTAACTGCCGGATCGGCAACCAGGAAGC